CAAGCCCCAACTATTTTTTTTTCTTGAGACATGGTCTCGCCCTATAGCCCAGACTGGAGTGTAGTGGCGAGGTCATGGCTCAACACAGACTTGAAGTCTTGGGCTCAGACAGTCCTCCCACCTACACGTCTTAAATAAAATTGAACTAAACCCGTGTGAATTGCTAAAGGACAATTTCCAAGATTCTCTGGACAAACTGTGCTGTAACAATATATTCACAGCCCACAATAGCTAAGCAGGTAAAAGCTATACACACCTCCCCTGTTTAACTCTGAGTACAACCTCACCAAGTAAGTTCTATGCCTTTTCTTTTTTTTGAGACAGAGTTTCACTCTGTCACCCAGGCTAGAGTGGAGTGGTGGCTCACTGCAACCTCCAGCTCCCGCGTTCAAGCAATTCTCCTGTCCCAGCTTCCCAAGTAGCTGGGATCACAGGCACCCACCACCACATCCAACTAATTTTTGTATTTTCAGCATAAATGGGTTTCACCATGTTGCCCAGGCTGGTCTCAAACTCCTGACCTCAGGTGATCCACCCACCTCAGCCTCCCAAAGTGCTGGGATTACAGGTGTTGAGCCACTGTACCTGGCCATTTTTCTTTTTGTGTTTTTAGACAGGGTTTTGCTGTCACCCAAGCTGGAGTGCAGTGGCACAATCACAGCTGCCTGCAGCCACAACCTCTGGGGCTCAAGAGAACCTCCCACCTCAGCCTCTTGAGTAGCTGGGACTACAGGTGTGTACCACCACTTCTGGCTAATTTTTCTATTTTCAGTAGAGATAGGGTTTCACCATGCTGGCCAAGCTGGTCTCCAACTCCTGACCTCGGGCGATTCGCCCACCTTGGCCTCCCAAAGTGCTGGGATTACAGGCATGAACCACCTCGTCCGGCCACTTTTTGGTTGTTTGGTTTTCAATAGGCAGAGTTTTGCTATCACCCAAGCTGGAGTGCAGTGTGGCAATCACAGCTGATTGCTGCTATAACCTCTGAGTCTCAAGTGAACCTCCCACCACCTCAAGCCTCCTGAGTAGCTGAGACTACAGGTATGCACTACTATGCCTGGGCTTTTTTTTTTTTTTAGTTTTTAAAAACTTTTTTTAGAGATGGCATCTCACTATATTGCCTAGGCTGGTCTCGAACTCCTAAGCTCAAACGATCCTCCCGCCTCAGACTCCCAAAGTGCTGGGATGACAAGTGTGAGCCACCAAGCCCGATCTCCATGGCCACCTTCCTAATTAAAAAAAAAAGTTACTACCCCCATGGCTCCAAAACCAAAGCTTCTAGCTTCTGCAACACCTAAGTGTGCCAACCAGCCAGGAGGCACTGACTGGTGACCATGAGTCGCTGTCTTCACCTGGCTGAAGAGGTCTCCCGGGAGAACGGCACAGGCCGGTCCACGGGGCGAGAGCACACTCGACAGCCCCGGAAGCGTGGGCACTAGAGCTACCCGGCCCACGAAACGAACCCCCCGGCGCGGCCCCGGGCGCCTCGGATCCAGGCCCCGGCGCTGCTCCCGCACCTGGACTCGGACCCTACCGCCTCGGCCTCCCCACGGCTCCGCCGGCCCTTGGAGACCTGAGGGTGCCCTTCTCCCTGGGATCTGCGACCGGGAGCCCCGGCCTCGCTCCTGTCGCGCTCGCTCAGTGCAGCGACGGTGCCCAGCGCTTGGGATCCAGAGCTGAGGCCAGGACCGAGGAAGGCGACGGGGCGGACCCACAACCACTCCCGCCTCCTGCACGCACGCCACTGGCCCCCTCTCACCCCGCCATGGTTGGCCCCCGCGCCTACAGCAAGCCGCCGGAAATGCCTCGCCTCACTTCCGGTCAGAGGCCCCGTCCCCGGAAGCCGCGGTGCAAGTACGAAAAGTGCGCGCGGGATTCTAGTAGCCGGGGTGACCAGGGAGGGGAGCTGAGCCAGCGGGCCGCAGGAGACCAGGTAAGCCTAGCCCGTGGGCTTGGAGGAGACCAGTGGAGCCCAGCCGGGGAATCGGGGGAGACCAGGAGGGCGGGGTCGGGGGCTTAGGGGAGACCAGGAGGGCGGGGTCGGGGGCTTAGGGGAGACCGGGAGGGCGGGGTCCGGGGCTTAGGGGAGACCAGGAGGGCGGGACGGGAGCTTAGGGGAGACCAGGAGAGCGGGGCCGGGGGCTTAGGGGAAAGACCGGCAGTAAATCATCACAAAAATTTACTCTGGAAACCATGGCTTCTGGCAGGAACAGATCAGTGTCAGGACAAAGTACACGGGCCTCCTGAGAAGCTCAGCCACAAACCCACCTACCCTGTCTGACCTGCCTCCACCACCAGGACCCAGTCTCAGTGAAATGGGACAGGTTCCCTTGTCCTTCTTGAAGGGCGTGCGATAGGGATGTGGCCCACTTCTTCAGGGCCCCGCTGCTCAAGCCTCTAGGGGAGCATACAGACGGGCAGGCTGTGGGACTCCGACCCCACAGCAATGTCTAGGGGTGAATGTTTGCAGCTCCTGAAGCCCCATTGGGCATGTATTACAGGGTGCTCTTTCAGTTTAGCCGTATAGGTGGCTTGTGTCGGCTCAATTAGCCTCCTTGCCTTATCGCAAGGACAGAGGGCTTTCTGTACGGGGTTTCTTGCCTTGGTGTACTGGAGCAATCGTATCACACGTGGGCTTGGAGAATGAGTGCAGGGTTTTATTGAGTGGAAGTAGCCCTCAGCACATGGGGGAGCCAGAAGGGAGTTGAAGCAAGAAGATGGTTTTCCCTTGGAGCCAGGCCGCCAAGCAGCCCAGGTTCTCCTCCTACCGCCCCTGCCAAACTCCTTGTGGTTCCGCCAGTTGATTCCCTGCCTGCCTGCTGCTGGTGCCTGTTGGGGTGCTCTTCACATCCTCTAGATGTCTAGCGGCTCGCGTCTCTCTGCTCACTAGGGTCTGGGGGGTTTTAAAGGCACAGGATGGGGTCCTGGCGGGCTTGGGAAATACAACATTTGGGCAGGAAAACAGAAATACCTGTCCTCACCTAGGTCCCTAGGCACAGGCCTGGGGGTGGAGCCCTAGCCAGAAACCACGCCCTCTTCTACCCAGCCCTTCCCTGTCCCCCTTCCTTACTGTCCCATCCCTTTTCTTAGACACCACAACTTCTAAGGAGGATCACTGGTCCTGAATCCTGTGTCTGAATCCTGTCCTGGGGGCCAGGTGTAGACCCCAGAAAAGTTGGTCCTGGCTGGGCACAATGGCTCATGCCTGTAATCCCAGCACTTTAGGAGGCTGAGGTGGGTGGATTGCTTGAGCCCAGGAGTTCAAGACCAGCCTGGGCAACATGGCAAAACCCCATCTCTACTAAAAATACAAAAATTAGCTGGGCATGGTGGCTCATGCCTGTGGTCCCAGCTATGCTGGAGGCTGAGGCAGGAGGCAGCTTCAGCCCGGAACGCCGAAATTGCAGTGAAACGAGATAATACCACTCTCCTCCAGCCTGGGCAACAGAGCAGGCTCTTGTCCCTAAATAATACATAAATAAACAAAGGAAAGTTGGTCTTGGTCCTCCAGCTCTTGTCTCGAAAGAAAGGAAGGAAGGAGTCTCAAAAGAAAGAAGGAAAGAGAGAGAGAGAGGAAGGGAAGGAGGAAGGGAAGGGAAGTTGGTCCTGGTCCTCCAGCATTTCTCCAGGGTCCTTTTTCCAGCAGGGACTTGGCGGAGGCATCACCCTCAGAGTCCTCCTCTGGACCTGGACCTGCCCACCTGTGGGAGCAGGAAGGGCCCTTGCTTCCAGTGGCATCCCTGGGTCCCAGGTCCCACAGTGGCCACAGTAGGAGCAGAGTGAGTGGGATATAAACTCCTGTCACAGGAGGGAGGACTAGCCGGGCCCGGCTGAGTGGACCTGTGTCTGCAGTCACGCATTTCCTATGAATTGGGAAGCCTGCTACAAGAGAGGCAGGCAGGTCCCACTAGGCTGGAAGAAACTCCTGTTAATCAAAAGGCCAGTGTTGAAGGCTGACCTGAGAACCACAGGATAAATTGTGTGGTTCTTTTGGTGTCAGTCAGGCACAGAGACTGTTCTGCCCCACTGCTGTGCCTATGGCCAGGGGGTTCCTGGGGGCAGATGCAGGAGCAAGAGTCCTCTCTGGAAAGGTCACATTGTCCTTTGCAGCTGAGTTAGGGGAAAGAAGGTAGAGCCGGCAATCACGGCTTCCCCTCCCCACCTCCCAGAGCACATCCCCTTCCTCCTGGGCCTTGGCACCTGCTTCCTCCGTGAGCATCACCACCAACTCTGCCGTCTCACCTTCGTTTCAGAACCCAGGGACCATGGGCGCCTCCAGGCTCTATACCCTGGTGCTGGTCCTGCAGCCTCAGCGAGTTCTCCTGGGCATGAAAAACCGAGGCTTTGGGGCCAGCCGCTGGAATGGCTTTGGGGGCAAAGTGCAATAAGGAGAGACCATCGAGGAGGGAGCCAAGAGGTGTGAATGGTGGGGGGGGGGCTGGCTGTGGAACCAGCTTTCCCAGGGCACAGGGATTCGGGCTGCAGGGCCAAAGCCTTGGCTTCACCACTTAGAGCGAAGTGACCTGGAGCACGGGTTAGCCTGTGAGCCTCGGTATCTTACCTCAGAATGGGAATAAGAACAGCATCTAGACCTTATGAGGCGAGCAGCATAAAGGACTTAGAGCAGTGCCTGGTGTGTACTGAGTGTTGAGTGTGTGTTAGGTGCTGTGGTGTGGTGTGTGGTGTGTAGTGAGTGTTGAGTGTGTGAGCTGCTATGGTGTGGTGGTGTGTGGTGTGTACTGAGTGTTAAGTGTGTGCTGCTGTGGCATGGTGGTGCATGGTGTGTAGTAGGCGCTGAGTCTGTCACCTGCTGTGGCGCGGTGGTGCTCAGGGTGCATGGTGTATCTGGGAGCTACTGTACGTTCTGGCTTAATTGAACACTCCTGGCATCCTCACTGTCACTGGAGGGCTCATCAGTCAGTTGGTAACTTTGTGCAGAGGAGTTGATCGCATTTATCTCACACCCTTTGTACACAAAATCTCACTGCATCTTCAGCTTCACTGAGATAGGAACTGAAGCCCAGAGAGGTTGAGCAGCTTGCCCAAGATCACAAAGTCCTCTGGACACCCCTCACCCATCACAGGGTAAATGAGATCGTCTGTGTAAACATCACAAAGTCCTGCCCAGATGTAGCCCCTGTTCATGCTCCTGTTCTGAGAAAGGTAGGTCATCTTCCCTGGAGAGGAGAAATACAGAGTAAAGAGGGTCCTGGCAGCCAGGCGCGGTGGCTCACACCTATAGCCCCAGCACTTTGGGAGACTGAGGCAGGTGGATTGCAAGGTTAGGAGATCGAGACCATCCTGGCCAACATGGTGAAATCCGTCTCTACTGGAAAAAACAAAATACAAAAATTAGCCATGTGCGGTGGTGCACACTTGTAGTTCCAGCTACTCGGGAGGCTGAGGCAGGAGAATTGCTTGAACCCAGGAGGCAGAGGTTGCAGTGAGCCAAGATCGCGCCACTGCACTCCAGCCTGGCGATACAGCAAGACTCCATCTCCAAAAAAAAAAAAGAGGGTCCTGGCACAGGGGAAAGCCAGGACACTGCAGCCCAGGGGCTTTCCAAATTTTTCATCACAACCTGCAGTGAGAAATATGTTTTATACTCTGATAGAGTATACACGCTCAGGCTTACAGGTGCAGCTAAAATAAGCTGCAGAAGCTACCCTTATTACATTAAAGAGCACCTTACTATTTCCGATTCATTTCTTTTTTTTTTTTTTTTTTTTCCTCCAGAGACAGAATGTCACCCAGGCTGGCGTGCAGTGGCACACTTATGGCTTACTGCGGCCTCAAACCCGTGGGCTCAAATGATCCTCCTGCCTCAGCCTCATGAGTAGCTGGGACCACAGGCTCATGCTACCATGCTCAGCTAGTTTTTTAATTCTTTGTAAAGATGGGGTCTCATTCTGTTGCTCAGACCAGTCTCAAACTCCTGGGCTGAAACGATACTCCCACTTGGGCCTCCCAGTGTGCTAAGGTTGCAGACGTGAGCTACTGTGCTGGACCCTTTTTTTTTCAGCTGCAATCCTGATTTCATAGGGCACATGGGTCCCAACCCTCAGTTTGGAGAGCCCTGTGTGTGACACACTGAGCGTGTGCATCCCCTCCAAGGCCCGGGCCCCTGGGCTGCAGCCACACAGACACATTTGATCAGCACTGTGGCAGGTGCCAGTGCGACGGGCTCTGTGCTGGGGGCTGCAGCTGGGGAGGAGGCCCACTGGATATGAGTCGGGCATCCAGCGTGCCCACGCCTATAGTGTGTGCAGAGCAACAGCAGCACAGGAAACAGGCAGGAAAGGTGCCCCAGGGGTCCTCCTGCCCAGCCCTTTGTCTTCGATCTGATAAGACTGCCCATCAGCTCATGGATTGATTTAGCACTGCTCTGTGTGGGGCCTGGGGACATGGGAGGAACAGGTCAGTCCCTGCCTCTTTGGGGCTCTCATGTCATATGGCTGCCAGGTTCAGGAGACATGCAGAAAGAGGTCTGGTCCACACCTGGTGGCCAGAGGTGTCCAGGACAAAGGAAGGGTGAATAACGGCACCAGGAAAACACCCTGAGGGTCTGACGTTCACTGGGAGGACGTGGAGGGAGGGAGGAAGGAGACAATCGCAGAAGCACAGAGGGCTGGAGGAACACCAGCTGTGCAGGGAAGTGGGAGTGTGAGGGGAGCAGGCAGCAGGGCTGAGGAGGCTGGACGGAGGAGCTCCAAGTGACTGGGTTTCTGCTCCTTGTCCTGCCAGTGACAAGCAAAGCACAGTCTGCCTCATCAGCCCTGATGTATTTCTTCTGAACTTTCTCATGGTCCAAGGAACTTCCCTCCTGCCCTCTATAAATATTATACAGAGGGACCATCACTCCAGACCCTCAGTGCTGAATACAGCGGTGGCTTGCTCTCAGGGTTTGAGGGGGGAACTAAGGCACCGAGCAGGCAGCCTGTGACTTCATCCTCAGGTGTAACCTGGATCCAGGGATCTATCCCCCCACCTGGGCAGGTGCAGCAGCCCTGTAGCTGGCCTGGCCACCTCCACCCTCCCCTCTGCAGTTCCCACTCCACACAGCTGCCAGGTGGCCCTTCCCAGACTGCATCTAGGTCTCCCCCAACCCCCCCGACACAGACACACACTCACACATTAAACCCTTAACACATCCCGATGCACTGAAAGCCACCCTCCTGTGTCAGCCACTGAGCCCCCCACAGGCTTGCCCTGCCCCTCCCTCCTGACTCTCTGCCTCTCAGACACCCCAAACTGTTGCCCACCTTGCTCTTCATCTGGCTGAGCCCCCATCCCACCTTCCAGCAACATTCACAGCTAAGAAAGTGCCTTCCCCCACCCCACTGTTCTCAACAAATCTCACCCTGTGTCTTTCCTTCACGGCACTCTCACCCTTTCTAGTCATATTTAATGATTCACTTCCTATCTGTCTTTCCCTAGAATCATTCTATAAGGTCAAGACTGCCCAGGCTAGAGTGCAGTGACACGATCATAGCTTACTGCTGCCTCGACCTCCTGGGCTCAAGCCATCCTCCCGAGTAGCTGGGACTACCAGTGCATGCCACCACACCTGGCTAATTTTTTTATTTTTAGTAGAGACAGAGTTTTGACATGTTGCCCAGGCTGGTGTCAAATTCCTGGCCTAAAGTGATCCTCCCGCCTCAGCTTCCCAAAGTGCTGGAATTACAGGCGTGAGTCACTGCGCCCAGCGTAACTTGTGCTTTTTTTTGAAGTGTCATGCTGAGGAGGGAGACCCAGGCATTTGGGATTCCCTCCCCACTCTGTCACATCCACTGTGCATCTTAATAGAAGAGAGAGCAGGCCAGCTAGTGCCTCCTGAATCTCCTTCCTGAAAACAACAGGCTAGGCCTTGGAGAAACTTCAGAAGGCACTATTTTTACTTAAAAGAAGATAAAACCAGAAACCTTTTCACATGTGAGTCCTAAAACTGTAAACCGGAACCCTTTCATATGTAATTCCTAAAACTGTAAACTAAAACCTTTTCACATGTGAGTCCTAAAACTAAACCAGAACCCTTTCATATGTAATTCCTGAAACTGTAAACTAAAACCCTTTCATATGTAATTCCTGAAACTGTAAACAAAAACCTTTTCACATGTGAGCCCTAAAAACTAAACCTAAGATTCTTCCACGTGTAGCATCTAAAGTATAAGCCTGTGTAAAGGCTGAACCTCCCTTTGTTAGGGGAGTTTGGCTGTTAGGCACCTCTGCCACCAAAGCTCCCAGCTAAAATACATTCTTTCCTCCTGTATTCAGTGTCCGAGAGATCCTTTCCCACGGCCGCTCCTGCTACAATGCATATATAGAAAACTGCACAAATCTCCATCAGTAGTGAGTTTTTAAGAAGTGGGTTCACCTGTTTCTTTTTTTTTTTTTTCCCTGAGATTGAGTCTTGCTCTGTCACCTGGGCTGGAGTGCATTGGCACAATCTCGGCTCATTGCAGCCTCCACCTCCTGAGTTCAAACAATTCTGCCTCAGCCTCCTGAGTAGCCCACCACGGCCAGTTAATTTTTGTATTTTCATTAGAGATGGAGTTTCACCATGTTGGCCAGGATGGTCTTGATCTTCCGACCTCATGATCCACATGTCTTAGCCTCCCAAAGTGCTGGGATTACAAGCGTGAGCCACCTCGCCCAGCCACCTGTTTCTTTTTTTGAGATGGAGTCTTGCTCTGTTGCCCAGGCTGGAGTGCAGTGGCGTGATCTCTGCTCACAGCAGCCTTCACCTCCCGGCGATTTTCTTGCCTCAGCCTTCCAAATAGCTGGGACTATAGTTGCGCACCACCACACCTGGCTAAATTTAGTATTTTTGGTAGAGACAGGGTTTCACCATGTCAGCCAGGCTGGTCTCAAACTGACCTCAAGTGACCTGGCCACCTCAGCCTCCCAAAGTGCTGGGATTACAGGCATGAACCATTGCATCCAGCGGGTCCACCTGTTTAACCAACTTGTAGATCAAGAAATAGATGTGGACCGTGGACCCGGCCCTCCATCCTGACTTCCAGCACAGTTGATGACTTTGGCCTGTTCCCAGTGCGGGATCTCAGAGGCTTCGCCCTCATCCTGCTTCTTTCCAGCGTCATATGTGCCACAGCAGTGGCTCCTCATCCAGCTGCTGGGTAGTGCCCTGCAGAGGTACGTGCTGCAGCTCACCCGCTCTGCTCCAGGTCACCCACTCTGCTGCAGCTCACCCGCTCCGCTCCAGGTCACCGGCTCCGCTGCAGCTCACCTGCTCTGCTCCGGGTCAGTTGCTCCGCTGCAGCTCACCCGCTCAGCTCCAGGTCACCCACTCTGTTCCCGGTCACCGGCTCTGCTCCAGGTCACCCGCTCTGCTGCAAGTGTGCATATGGGCCTTCCCCTTGGGAGCTGTTGCGGGCGACTGCCAGGAACGGTCCTGAACGTGACTTTTGGTGCCTGTGTGCCCTTTCCTGGTGGACAGTTACCTTGGAGGAAACCTGTAGATATTCGGCTTCAGCAGAGATTGCCAAACCACTTTCCACAGATGTTTCACTGATTCAAACTCCCGCCACTGGCGTGTGAGTTCAGCTTCCTCCAAATGCTCAACAGCACTTGATACTTTCTCCTTTTTATCTTAGCCATTCTGGTAGGGGCGGTGAGCTCACTGAGGTTCTGTGTGCCCTGATGACTGAGGAACGGGAGCACCTCCTCAGTGTCTGTGGGCCGCTTGGATCTCCTTCGTTGTGAAGTATCTTCTCAAGCCTTTTGCCCATGTTTGAATTTAGTTACCTTTTCCTGACTTTAAGAGACTGGGTCTCACTATGTTACCCAGGCTGGTCACGATTTCTGATTTGTAGTTCTTTAAACATTTTGGATGTCAGTTGTCAGATATTATATAGATTGCAAATATTTTCTATTCAGTGGCTTCTACTCTTAGTGACATTTTGGTAAACAGAAGTTTATTATTTCAATATAAGCTAAAATGTAATTTTTATTTTATGGTTAGCATTTTTCACATGCTTTTAAAGAAATCTTCCTATCCCAAGCTTAAGATATTCTCAGGCCAGGCACAGTGGCTCGTGTCTGTGATCCCAGCACTTTGGGAGGCTGAGGTGGGAGAATCACTTAAGCTCAGGAATTCAAGACCAGCCTTCTCTGCTAAAAATTTTATAACTCAGTCAAGTCTGGTGGTGCAGACCTGTAGTCCTCGCTACTCAGGAGACAGAGGTGGGAGGATTGCTTGAGCCCAAGTGGTTGAGGCAATAGTAAGTTGTGATCGCACCACGGCACTCCAGCCTGGCCAACAGAGTGAGACCCTGTCTTTTTTTTTTTTTTTTTTTTTTTTTAATGGAGTCTTGCTCTTGTTGCCGGGGCTAGAGTACAGTGGCGTGATCTCAGCTCACTGCAACCTCCACCTCCCAGGTTCAAGCAATTCTCTTGCCTCAGCCTCCCATGTAGCTGGGATTACAGGCACTCACGACCACACCCGGCTAATTTTTTTTGTATATTTTTAGTAGAGACAGTGTTTCACCATGTTGGCCAGGCTGGTGTTGAACTCCTGATCTCAGGTGGTCTACCTGCCTTGGCTTCCCAAAGTGCTGAGATTACAGGCGTGAGCCACTGTGCCCTGCCAAGACCCTGTCTTAAAGGAGGAAAAAAAAAATCCCTTGTTGGGGTGCATCTGCAGGTGTGAGGAATGGGAGACACTGGAGCCAGACAGGCTGATGCTTAGGGGTCCCAGGGCCCTGGGAACCCAGCAGCAAATGGCCTCTCTCCCCAGGGGATGACGCACCGGCAGCCCCAGGCCACCAGCATGGCCCTGGGCTTCAGTACCTGCGAGTCTGAAAGGACTGCAATCCTCCCACCACTGGCTCCATACCATCTTCGGGCCTCTCCCCAGAGCCTCTCCACCAAACTCAGTGTCTTCAAAATTCAAGTTGATTGTGAAGCTCAGGCAGGTCGGGACCAGCTAATACATTCTGGGTGACATCTTGGGTTTCCCGTCCACTCCAGTGGCTCCCTGGGCTGTGCAGATGCCCAGTTCCTCCTCCCCTGCCATCATGTGGGCATGGTGGCCTGCCTGACGCCCTTCCTTCTCCCTCCCCATCCACCTCTGCCCACAGGGAGCTGCAGGAGGAGAGTGGTCTGACAGTGGATGCGCTGCACAAGGTGGGCCAGATCGTGTTTGAGTTCGTGGGCGAACCTGAGCTCATGGATGTGCATGTCTTTTGCACAGACAGCGTCCAGGGGACCCCCGTGGAGAGCGATGGTGAGCCTCACGGGGCCTGCTCCCCACTCCCCACCATGCACGTTCCATCTCCTGGCTGGGAGAAAGGCCATTGGCCCAAACCAGCTCTGAGTGCCAGGCACCAGGCAGCCTCCACCCAACAATGCCAGCATAGGGCCCTCAGCCATGGTCACTGCACCCATTTCCTACCCCAAAATGAGAAACATGGTCAGAGGATTAAATACAAACAATCATCAGGCTCCTCATGAGAGCCAGTTTGTTTGGGCTGGCCAGATGCAGTGGCTCATAGCTATAATCCCAGCACTGTGGGAGGCTGAGGCAGGAGGATCGCCTGACCCAGGAGTTCAAGACAAGCCTGGGCAACATAGCGAGACCCCGTCTCTACAATAATAATAATAATAATAAGCATTAAGTTTGGGTTGCATGTCAGTGCCTTCTCTTCTCCCCTCAGTACAGAAATGCGCCCACACTGGTTCCAGCTGGACCAGATCCCCTTCAAGGACATGTGGCCAGATGACAGCTACTGGTCTCCACTCCTGCTTCAGAAGAAGAAATTCCATGGGTACTTCAAGTTCCAGGGTCAAGACACCATCCTGGACTACACTCTCCGAGAGGTGGACGCAGTCTAGCGGGAGCCCGGGGAGCCCCTGGGCAGGAGACTTGGCTGCTGAACAGCTGCAAACTGTCTGTTCACCTGGGCGCAGCAAGTGGATCAGAGCTAGGTTTTGTCTTTAGTGTGATTGGACGGAAAGGAAAATAAAAGTCTTCATTTTTTTTTTTTTTTTTTTTTTTTTTTTTTTTTTTTTTTTTTTTTTTTTTTTTTTTGAGATGGGAGTCTCATTCTATTGCCTCTGTTGCCCAGGCTGGAGTGCAGTGATGCGATCTCCGCTCACTTCAACCTCCGCCTCCCAGGTTCAAGTGATCCTCCCATCCATCTCGGCCTCTCAAGTAGGTGGGATTACAGGTGCACACTGCCACGCCCGACTAGTACTTGTATTTTTAGTAGATACGGGGTTTCACCATGTCGACCTGGCTGGTCTTGAACTCCTGACCTCACATGATGCACCCACCTCAGCTTCCCAAAGTGCTGGGTTTACACGAATGAGCCACCAAGCCCGGCCGGTCTCTTTTTAAACATCCTTCCAGACACCAGCACAGCCTGCCAGGTCCTGCCAACGGGAAGCTGCCGGATATGCTGGGCTGTGACCCGCACTGCTACACAGAGGTGGGAGAGGACAGAGACTGTCCCGGAGGTGGGCAGCTGGTGGAGGGCAGGACACACATGCTCAGTGCCACTAGCTGGAGGTGTGTCCCCTCAAAACTCCCCTGCAGTGTGGGAAACTGAGGCTAAAGTCCAGGCTGAATGCCTCATAGGCTTGTCCCCCTCCCCTGCCCAACTTTCACACACACGTTTAATAAAAGTTGTTCACACACAGTTATCCATAAACTATCCAAAGTGTAGGTTGTGTGTAAACAGTTCCAGTTTATTGGGTGTATTGGGTATTGATCCCGGCAGCCTCCTAAAGTACTCTGGACATGAACTGACCCCCAGAGCATGAGCAAAGGCCTCAGGTGCACAGAGCCACCCTGACATCCCTCAGCTCGGAGTCCCGTGCCTGTCAGAGTCCTATACCTGTCTCCTCTGTCTACGCTGCCTCTATGGCAGACAGAGGGCAGCTCTCTGCATGGTGACCCCAAGTCCACAGGACAGGAGGATCCAGTGAGAATGTTCCCTTTCACTGTGATCTGCAGCCCCCTCCCGTAGCCCCACCAGCCGCCTGTCCTCCCAGGGCAGGCAGCATCTGGCATCTCCACCCACATCACATGTAGCTGTCCCTGCCAGCTGGGCAAGGCTGCAATGCCCAGCACAGACTTGGGCTTGGGCCATGGGCAGCAGGAGGGCTGGAGAGATGTGGGGAACCCCACTCTCCCAGCACGGGGCCTCCACCTGCAGCAGGAAGCAGCCTCTCATCCCCCAGGTCAGCCCCTGGGCCTGGGTACCTGCCAAGGCAGCACAGGGCTAGGGCCAGGGCCAAGAAGTAATTCTAAGAAGGAAGGTGGCCTCTGCCACCCCTGCCTTGCAGGCCTCTACTGCCCTTGAGAAGGCACTGGGTGGTAGGAGGAGGGAAAGAGGGAAGTGTTCCAAAGCCAGTGACCACCCCTCCACAGAGCCAACGCCAGGGCATGCAGGAAGCGACCAGTCACACGTAGGAGACAGGCTGCTCTCCTCACCCCTACCTCCCCTCACCTCTGCCCTCCTACTTCCCCTCACCCCTGTTCCCCTGCTCCCTCCTCACCCCTGCCCTCTTGCTCCCTACTCACTCCTGCCCTCCTGATCCCTCACCCCTGCCCTCCTGATCCCTCACCCCTGCCCTCCTGCTCCCCCCACGCCTCCCCTCCTGTCTCCCACTCACCCTCACCCTCCTGTTTCTCCTCACCCTGCCCTCCTGCTCCCTCCTCACCCCTGCCTTTCTGCTTCATCCTCACCTCTGCCCTCCTGTTTCCTCTCACCCTCACTCCTTGCCCCTGCCCTCCTCCTTTCTACCTCCATCCTCAGCCTCTGGACACAAGGACCCCAAGACCCTGGTCCTGAAATTTCCACCACAGGGAAATGCCTGCCAGGCATCATCATACTCACTGATCCCAGAGTCCCTGCCAGGAACACTCCTTCAGAAATGCTCATTTTGAGTCTTGCTCTCTCCTTGGAGGGCTGTATTGGGAGCGCATGCCTTCCCTACCCTGGAGACATGAGGCCCCAGCACCTGATGCCCACCATGACTGCCCACAGCCTCTGTGGTCCTGCAGCTGGACAGGCCCCAGGCAGGTGCAAGCAGAGGGCGAGGCCTTGCAGCCTTCTGCCCACACAGGGTCATGCTGCATGGCTTAGCTGTCACAGCACCACTCATGGAAACTGAGAATCTGTCTCTGCAGAGGGGGTCAGATTCGCAGCACAACCCAAGACTTGGGTGGGCTAGGGACTCACAGGATAGCCCACCCATTGGCTCCAAAGGGAACGCTGCCCTCTGCTCCTCTGGCCATAAGGGAGCAGCCCACCCCGCAGGAGGAAGGCGCCGGCAGAACCCACAGGGCCAGGGCAGGGTCCGAGCACCACAGCCACCGAGTCGGCACAGCCCATAGGGCCAGAAGGTGCAGCCACTCCCTCTGGCAGGCTCACAGTGAATGATGGATCACCTGCTTGTGGGGCACAAACAGGTGTCTCCTCCATCCTAGGGCTGTGAGATCCCCATGGGTGCAGGAAGAAGGGAAGCAAACTGTGTGGGTGGAGGGAACGCCCAGAGGCCAAAGAGCATCCGGAGAACAGAGGGACCTCGCAAACCCTGGGGCCCGGGATCCTCTTCCATCACCTCTCCCCTCAGGGAGGGCCTCAGGCTCTGGAGAAGCGCAGGGGTCCGGGAGACCCCAAAGCTCCATGTGCCTTCCGCAAAAGGAGTTTGGGGCAGGAGCAGACCCAGGCCTGAGGCAGACATTCCAGACCCGCAGAGCTCAGAAAAATGGCTTCTTAATCCAGAGAAAGGAAGGGTCCCCTCTGTGTGGGTGGCTGGGCCGGCAAGTGCATGGCGGGAGGCTGAGGGAGGACTCTAATTGCCTCAGAGAAGGAAATCCATCTAAAAGGGGGCTATCCCTCCTCTAAAGCCCCAGCTGGAATGGAACAGAGCCCCCATTCCCCCACCTGTCCTCTGCCGGCCCATCCAGCCTCAGTGCCACACGGTGAAGACCCCGACGCTGGCCACCAGAAATGAAGGGAGTCCAGGGGACAGGAACAGAGCCACTGTAGCGCCCACTCTCAGAGCCCCAGCTCTCTGTCATGCCTTTGTCTTCCAGGCCTGAGACCACAGGCACACACAGCGTCATGGTGTGGGCACAGGGCACACACGGGGTCATGGTGTGAGCAGGGAGACATGGGACCACTGGATCCTGGAGGCCACTCCCAGACAGGGCTCCTGGTGCTCACTGCAGCGAGTCCCCTAGAAAATTCACAGTGCACCCCCCATGCCCGATGGCCAGCCCTCCCAGCCTTGCCACCACAAAGAGCCATGACAACGTCCACACCATTGGCTCATTGGCTGTCCCCTTGCTGTCCATGGCCAGTCCCATGCCTGGCTGCAGGGCGGCCCTGCCCTCCCTCTCTCCTCCGCTGACCAGCACCATGAGGCTGCCCCTCCTGACTGTTCCAGCATCTGGAGGCCCCGCCCCCATGCTCCCCCAGTCACAATTTCTGTGAGATGAGAGATCCCTGCCTTCCCCCGTGGCTCTGGGTGTCAGGATGAACCCCACCACCCCTCTCCACCAGGCTAGCAGGCCACGGGGTGGAGGACAGCATGGCACAGCTGCCCTGTGGTCCACGGGTGCCCTCCCGGCCCGCAGGCTGAGTGCATCTGCTCCGGCTACAGCACTGGTGGGAAGGGGAGCTGCCGTCCAAAGGGAATTACACAGGACACACCGTTTGGAAAGAGGTTTTAGTGTGGCCGCAGGGAGCACCACCTTAGCCTCGCACTAGTGAGGACACAGGCCGTCCTAGGGCAGGGACTTCAGCAGGGAACGCGGTGGGGGCAGGGCTCTGTGTGGTCCCGCAAAGAGGCAGCTGAGCTTGGGTCTCAGATCGTTCCACACCTTGCTCATCTGAAAGGGAACACAAAAAGAACAAGATCAGCAGGCGGGGCCCAGTCTCCCCACCACGCTCTAATCCCAACTCCTTCCCCTCCCTCCTTCCCCTGCCAGTGACAGGGACAGAGGGGCACGCGGGTGCGTCAGCTCCTCAAACCTCTGATAGAGCCAGTGCTGCCCGTCCTGCACAGAGGAAGTCCAAATGAGGAGTGGACCAGTGGCCTCATGTGACCTGTGGTCATAGATGCCCATGCCTCGGACCCTGCACCCAGGACCAAGGGCCGCAAAGCTGCCTGCCATGGAATCACGAGAAGGGTTACTGTCGGGTCACTGCCAGTACGTGCTCTAGCTACCGTGTAGGCACTGGCTTCATGGAAGCTTTGGCAGGTCAAACACCAAGGCCAGCCTGGGCCACAGAGGGACACCCAGTCTCCACAAAAAATCAGAAATCTTGACCGGGTGTGGTGGCGCATGCCTGTGGTCCCAACTACTCGGGAGGCTGAGGCTGCAGTGAGCTGCAATTGCACCACTACACTCCAGGCTGGGCGACAGAGCAAGACTCCATCTCAAAACAAAAAAGCAAACCAAAAACACAAAGACCACATCCACCAAATCAATAACACACAAACCACATGCAAACGGTGGCCCCACTCACCAACACTTTTGGAACCAGGGCAATGAACGGATGCTGTGGACGTGAGGAGGGGGGCGTGGCAACAAGGCAGGGGTCAGGACAAGACCTGCCGTGCAGGGGATTAGGTGGCCAGAGACTGGCAGGGCACAGCCCTAGGGACCTGCAGGGGAGGCTGGGTCACTGGAGCACAGCACACTCATCTCAGCATCACAGGACTAGGAATTCCTCATCACCACAATAATGGAACTGGTAGGACTGGGGTGATGGCATCATGCCCCAGGCAGGACAGGGCCCCCACCTGTTGGTCACGTTCCTTCACTGAGGACACGCCCAGCCACTCAGATGTCCAAGCCCAACCTGGTCCCCTGAGACCTCGGCCACCTTGCAGTGATGCTCCTAAGGGCAGCTGTCTCCGCCTCTCCAGCCCCACCACTGCCACTTCCGGCCTGCCATTCCCAAATGGCCAGACGGCACCCAAGGCACCAAGCACCTCCCAGGGAGAGTGTGAAACCTTATGACCATCCCAGACACTCAGCACCATACAACACGTGCCACAGACCACGGCTTCAAAGCTGCTTGCAGCTACTTAATAAACTCAATCTCAACCAGGCGCAGTGGCTCACGCCTATAATCCCAGAACTTTGGGGGGGCCTGTCTCAGGACTGCGAGAGCATTTCTTCTCAAAGGCTGAAGGAAGCACCATCTGGAGAAAGCTGGCCCGTGCTCTTTGGAAAAACACCCCACCTGCAGTGCTCCCAAGCACTCAGAACCCTTGTCTCAGCCACAGGGTGCGGGAGCTCTGCAGGCTTTACCTCTGACTTCTCAAATCCCTCCAGAAGGCAAACTGTCCCTGTCTGTCCCTCCCTCCGCCCCCAGGAATCACAGGGACACCCTCATGATTCTGACTTTGGCTACAAAGGAGACTAGAAGATCTGGGTGAGCACTGTGTTCCATGTAGACCCCAACTCCACTGAAGAACCTCTCGAGGGGGGCCAACCACCGTGCTGCCAGGCTTGAGGGAAGCGCCTTGGGGAAAAAAGGAAGGCCGTGGCCAAGACAGCATCCTGAGCAAGCGGGGACTCACCTCCTTGTGCCCTTGGATCTGGGAGTTCAGGAAGGCATGGAGGATATGGGAGGTGAGGGCAGGTAGACGTGGATGAGCTGCGTCTCCTGGTGCAGGCAGTACAGGGAGAAGTAGTTCCGCAGCTCCATGGTCTGAATCGCATTCTCCTGCTGCAAATTCAACAGCCACCTTCGCACCTGGCCCAGCCAGGGTCTGGAGGAGCATCAAGACCTGAACACCAGCACGCTCCCTGAGCCCCGGCGGCCCCTCCTCCTTCAGCCTTCACCAGGCATTTGGAAGGTGGCAAGGTAAGAGAGGGCCAGGGAGGGAGTACCGGGCAGGGAGCCATGTCACTCTGGGTACCTGAGGCAGCTCCCAGCCTCCACTGCACCCCCAGCTCTGTTCCAGACGCATGGGGCTAACCCAGGAAAGCCCACCGGGACAGCTCCAGGGCCCAAGGCTGGGAGGGAAAAGGCTCCCACGGGCCTGCCTGGCCATCCCAGCCACCCACCTCCACAATGCGAGACTCCAGCTGCTCCAAGGACTCCGGCTCACGGTTCTGCACGGCGGCGCTCATCATCTGCCTCGTCATCAGGCTGTATTTGTGCAAGGCCCGCTGGTGCTTGTGCAGCACACCCTTCTCGCGCCGCTCACACAGGTCCTGCAGGGTCGGGGAGGCATTCGGCCTTGACCCCCGAAGCCCGCGCCAGGGCCCTGCGGAGCCAGCTGAGGGCAGCACACCCAAGAGACGGAAGGTCCCATCTCCCACTGCAGTCCTGGCTTCTCAGCTCCTCCCATCCCCCAGGAGTTAAACCCTTGAAAGATCCTAAGATCATTCCCGAAAACTCTGCCCCCAACCGAGGAGCAGCCAAGACTCACCTTATACCACTGCAGCAGATCCAAGAAGAGGTTCAGCTCCTCCAGCACGTCATTCTCCTCCTGCTTACCCTAGAAGGTGAGGGGGAGAGGGAGCTTACCCATGAGGACACACACAGGACTGGGAACCCTGCCTGGGAACTCAGACCCAAGCCTGGCCTGGGCCCGTTCCTTCCGGCCATTGAAATGTCAAATTGATGTGCTCTAGATCAACAGATCAACAAGATCAACAATACCTTTTTTTTTTTTTTTTTTTTTTTGCAGTGTTAAGGTAATGGCTGGTTTTTGTGTCTGCTAAATATTTACCTTGAAAAAAAACAAAAGTGTGTACCTAGTTTCTTCGGAGATCAAGTCCTCTGGTAGGAGGCAAAGGACCTGTCTGCTTAGCAACTAATTAATAGGTGGTATTTAATACACTCTAAACCCGTGTTCAAAGGGGGCCTTCTGGTTTTAGAAAACTTGTGGAAACCAAGCCTGCTGATTATTTTTTCCCTGTCCTTTTTTTTTTTTTTTTAAAAAAAAAAAAAAAAAAAAAATATTAACACTTTCAAAAAAAAAAAAAAAAAAAAAAAAAAAAAAAAAAACTTTGAAAGTTAACTCTTCAAATGGGAGGCTCTTTGAAACGACATGTTCCTTTAAGCTACTGAAGCTTTATTTGCATATTTATTTCAGATGTTTCGAGTAAACTTGAAAAGGGTAGGCACGAAGCAATTTGTTGCTGCCTGTACCCCCAATCCCAAGTCCCCATGGAGGTTCTGTATTTTAAGAAGCAGTGTGTTGAGTGTACAGATTTTATTTATGCATAATTTAATGGGGTATGTAAATACTGGTGCACTTCTTACAACTTTTTTGAGACACGGGATCCAATTTTAATATTAACTTTGAATGGTGATGGGGTAATCTATAACGCACCGTAAGGTTTCATTCATATATGTACAGGGTATCGAGAATTAAGAGGATGCTGGGCTCTGTTCTTGGCTTGGAAGAGTCTATTTAATTGAAGCTCTCTGTTCTGAAAACAATAACTTTATGTCTCGTTCCTGTTGGGCTGCCTCTAAGGTGAGTGTGCAGGACGATGTGTGTGGGTGAAATGGAGATTCAGAATTGAACTCTCTGCCTGTAAATGTTCCCCAAATAATTGTTGTGTGTATGATATGTGTACAATAAAAGTATTCTCATTAGAATCTGTGGGAAAAAAAAAAAAAGAAAATCCCAAACAGCAAATAAAGGGCCAGTAGACAGTCGCCCTGAGCTCATCCCAGTACTATGGGGAAAAAAGAAAAAGCAGCCACCTTCACTTGTTCTACAGTTTAACTGAGCACAGAAGAAATGCTACACAGAGCTGTTTCAAATTATTACAGGAGAGCAAGGAAGGTACTGTATTAGTTCCTTCTCATGCTGCTATGAAGACATATCCAAGACTGGGTAATTTATAAAGAAAAGAGGTTTAGTTGACTTATAGTTACACATGACTGGGGAGGCCCCAGAAAACTAATAATTATGGTGGAAGGCACCACATCACAGAGTGGCAGGAGAGAGAATGAATGCTGAGCAAAGGAGGAAGCCCTTTACAAAACCATCAACTCTAGAGAGAACTCATTTACTATCATGAGAACAGGGGGAAATCGCCCCATGATTCAATTATCTCCACCTGGCCAAGTCCTTGACACATGGTGATGATTACAGTTCAAGGTGAGATTTGGGTGGGGACACAGAGCCAAACCATATCAGGTATGATTTAGGAGCAGCATAATTCAGGAGTAGAGAGAATGCATCTTAAAGAATGCTAGCACAGATGATGGAAACTGCATGGGAAGTAGTAAAAGAGAGGGTAGCAGAGGAACAAGCAGGGCATGAGGACAAAACCATCATGGCTGATTACTGGGACTGTCCCTGGACAATGAATTCATGTTAAAGTGGAAAGTACATAGGCAGGGATTCTGCAAATCAGTGAGGCACTAATTTGAAAATACATCATCAGCTCAATTCAATAAAACAGATATAATAAAAACTAGTATTCCAAAAGAACAGTATAATTTTCAAAGGGCATTTTTTTTTTTTTTTCATGAAACGGAGTCTCACTCTGTCGCCCAGGCTGGAGTGCAATGGCATAATCTCGGCTCACTGCAACCTCCGCCTCCCGGGTTCAAGCAATTCTCCTGCCTCAGCCTCCCGAGTAGCTGGGACTATAGGCATGTGCCACCACGCCTGGCCAATTTTGTATTTTTTAGTAGAAATGGGGTTTCAGCATATTGGACAGGCTGGTGTCGAACTTCCAACCTTGTGATCCGCCTGCCTCAGCCTCCCAAAGTGCTGGGATTATAAGCATGGGCCACCGCACCTGGCCTCAATGAGCTTTTTATAAATTAATGAATCCCATTTAGGACAAAGAGTTCCACAAGATGAAAAGGGCTTTTCACACTAACAAGTTTAGGGAAAAGGGATCCATGAGATAAAATGGTATTAAATCACTGACTGATACAGTACTTTTTAAAGTTTAACACTGCTAGTAGAAAAGGATTAAGCTTTCAAGGGCAGCTGAATCATGAGAAAATTAAGAAAACGAAAGATGTAGTTTAAGTACTTTCCCCAGCAGATGTATTTCTGAATGTCAGCACAGGCATACCTCATTTGGACTGTGCTTTGCTCTACTGCTCTTTGTAGACATTGCATGTTTTACAAAGGGAAGGCGCACAGCAACTCTGCATCAAACAAGTCCATCAGCACAACTTCGCCAACAGCCTATGTTCACTTCATGTCTCCACGGCACATGGTGTAATTCTCACTATATTTCAAAACTTTTTCATTATTATTATACTGGTTAAGGTGATCTACAGTCAGTGATATTTAATTATCTGTAACTATTCTCCCAACTCCTTTCCTCTCCTTGAACCTCACTAATCCTGAGACAAAACAATATTGAAATTACACAAACCAATTAATAACTCTACAGTGATCTCCAAGTGTTCAAGTGAAAGAAAGAGTCACATGTCTCGCACTTTAAATCAAAAACTAGAAATAAGCCTCGTGAGGAAGACATGTCAAAAGCCAAGACAAGCCAAAAGCTAGGTCTCTTGCTCTAGTTAGCCAAGTTGTGAATGCAAAGCAAAAGTTCCTGAAAGAAATTAAAAGTGCTAGTCTAATGAACCCACGAATAAGAAGGAGAAAGAGCCTTATTGCTAGTATGGAGAAAGATTAACAGTCTGGATAGAAGATCAAACCAACTACAACATTCCCTTACAGCAAAGCCCAATCCAGAGCCCTCTCTTCAATTAGAAAGCCAAGAGATGTGAGGAAGCTACAGAAGAAAAGTTTGAGGCTAGTAGAGGTTACTTCATGAGGTTTAAAGAAAGAAGCCATCTTCCTAACATAGAAGTGAAATGTGAAGCAGTAAGTGCTGATGGAGAAGCTGCAGCAAGTTTTCCAAAGTACCTAGCCAAGATAACGGATGAAAGTGGCTATCCTAAATGGCAGATCTGCAAAAAAGAAAAAACATTCTTACAACATTGAGATGTCATCTGGGACCCTTATATCTAGAGAGAAGAAGTCAGTGTTTGGCTTCAAAGTTTCAAAGAACAGGCTGACTCCCTTATTAGAGACAAATGCAGCTGATGACTTTAAGTTGAAACTAAGGCTCACTGACCACTGCAAAAATTCTAGGGCCAGTAAGAATTATACTAAATTGACTCTGCCTGTGTTCTAGAACTGGCACTACAAAGCCACAAGGACATCACGTCTGTTTTTGGCATAATTTACCGAACAAAAATCAAGCCCACTGTTGAACACTACTGCTCCAAAGAAAGATTCCTTTCAAAATATTACCACTTGGCCAGATGCAGTGGCTGATGCCTGCAATTCCAGAACTTTGAAAGGCTAAGGGGGTAAATCACCTGAGGTTGGAAGTTTGAGACCAGCATGGCCAATATGGAAAAACCCTCATCCCCACTAAAAATACAAAAATTAGCCAGGTGTGCTGGCACACCTGTAATCCCAGCTCCTCGAGAGGCTGAGGCAGGAGAATTGCTTGAACCCAGGAGGTGGAAGTTGCAGTGAGCTGAGATCACGCCACTGCACTCCAGCCTGGGTAACACAGCGAGACTCCATCTCAAAGAAAATATTACTACTCATTGACAATGCACCTGATCACCCAAGAGCTCTGATGGAGAGGCATAAGGAGATTCATGTTTTCGTGCCTACTAACAAAACCTCTGTTCTGCAGCCCATGGATCAAGGAGTAATTTTGACTTTCAAGTCATATTATTTAAGAAATAAATTTGTAAACCTATAGCTGCCATAGACAGTGATTCTTCTAATGGATCTGGGCAAAGTATATCTAAAAATTCCAGAAAGAATTCATCTTTGCAGGTGCCATTGAGAACATTTGTGATTCATGGGAAGTTGTCAAAATATCAATGTTAACAGGAGTTTGGAGGATGTTGGTTCAAACCCTCATGGGCGACTTTGAGAGTTCAAGACCTGTGGATGTGGTAGAAATAGCAATAGTACTAGAATTAGAGGTGGAACTTGAAGATGTGACTGCATTGTCGCAATCTCATGATAAAACTTGAACAGATGAGTTGCTTCTTATAGAATAGCTAAGAAAATGGTTTCTTGAGATGGAATCTATGCCTGGTGAAGATGCTAGGAACAATGTTGACATGACAACAAAGGATTTAGAATATTCCATAAACTTAGTTGATAAGGCAGAGGCGGGGTTTGAAAGGATGAACCCAAATATTGAATTAAATTCTGCTGTGGGCAAAATGCTTTCAAACCGCATCGCAC